TTTTTCTCTCTCTATTTTTCTCTCTCTTTCTCTTCTTTTCTGTGTTTCTATTTTCTCTCTCTCTCTAATTTTTCTTTTCTTCTTTCTCTTTTCTGTTTCTATTTTTCTCCTTCTCTTCTTTTCTTTCTTTTCCTTTTTTCTCTCTCTCTCTCCATTTTCTCTTTTTTGTGTTTCTATTTTCCTCTTTCTCTCTCTAATCTCATCTCTTCTTTCTGTGTTTCTATTTTCCTCTCTCTTTCTCTTTTTTTTCTGTTTCTATTTTCCTCTCTCTCTAATTTTCTTTCTTTTCTTTCTCTTCTTTTCTTCTTTCCCTATTTTCCTCTCTCTCTAATTTCATTTTCTCTTCTTTTCTGTTTTTCTATTTATTTTCCTCTCTCTCTCTAATCTCACATTTCTCTTCTATTTTCTGTCTCTTCTCCTTTCTCCTTTCCTCTCTCTAATCTCACTCTTCTCTTCTTTTCTGTTTTCTTCTTTTTTTTCTCTCTCTCTAATCTCACATTCTCTTCTTTTCTGTCTTCTTTATTTTCCTCTCTCTCTCTCTCTTTTCTTTTCTTTTTCTTTTCTGTGTTTCTCTCTCTCTAATTTTCCTCTCTCTAATCTCATTTTCTCTTCTTTTCTGTTTCTTTTTTCTTTTTCTTTCTCTCTCTAATCTTCACTATTCTCTTCTTTTTTTCTGTTTTCTATTTTCTCTCTCTCTCCCTCTCTCTAATTTCATTCTCTTCTTTTCTGTATTTCTATTTTCTTTTCTCTCTCTCTAATCTCACTTTCTCTTCTTTTCTGTGTTCTTTTTCTGTCTCTCTAATCTCACTCTTCTTTCTATCATTTCTCTTCTCTAATCTCACTTTCTCTTCTTTTCTGTGTTTCTCTCTCTATTTTCCTCTCTCTCTAATCTCACTATTCTCTTCTTTTCTGTGTTTCTATTTTCCTCTCTCTCTAATCTCATTTTTCTCTTCTTCTCTTCTTTTCTGTGTTTATTTTTTTTTCTTCTCTCTCTCTCTAATCTCACTTTTTTTTTTCTCTGTTTTCTAATGTTTCTATTTCTCTCTCTGTCTTTCTTTCTATTCTCATTTTTTCTTTTGTTTCTATTTTCTCTCTCTCTTTTTCTCTTTTTTCTGTGTTTCTCTTTCTCTCTCTAATCTCACTTTCTTTCTTTTTTCTTTCTTCTTTTCTCTCTCTCTTTCTCTCTTTCTCTAATCTCACTTGTTTCAATTCTCTTCTTTTCTGTGTTTCTATTTTCCTCTCTCTCTAATCTCACTTTCTCTTCTTTTCTGTGTTTCTATTTTCCTCTCTCTCTAATCTCACTTTCTCTTCTTTTCTGTGTTTCTATTTCTCTTTTCTCTCTCTATCTCACTTCTCTTCTTTTCTGTGTTTCTATTTTCTCTCTCTCTAATGTTTCCTCATTCTCTTTTTTCTGTGTTTCTATTTTCCTCTCTCTCTCTCATTCTCACTTTTCTCTTTCTTTTCTTCTTTTCTTTTCTGTTTCCCTCTTTCTCTCTCTAATCTCACCTTCTCTTCTTTTTTCTCTCTTTCTGTTTTCTCTTCTCTATTTTCCTCTCTCTAATCTCTCTTCTTTTTTTCTTTTCTGTGTTTCTATTTTCTCTCTCTCTCTCCATTCTCTTCTTTTCTCTTCTCTCTTTCTTCTCTTCTTTGCCGTTTTCTCTCTCTCTTTCTCTTCTTTTCTGTGTTTCTATTTTCTCTTCTCTTCTCCCACTTTCTCTTCTTTTCTTTTTCTCTCTCTCTAATCTCTTCTTTCTCTTCTTTTCTGTGTTTCTATTTTCTCTCTCTCTCTAATCTCACCTTCTTCTTTTCTGTGTTTCTCTTTTCTCTCTCTAATTTCCTCTCTTCTCTTCTGTGTTTCTATTTTCTCTCTCTTTTCTTTTTTCTGTCTCTGAAATCACTGTAACCTTCTTTTCTGTTTTCTCTCTCTCTCTATTTTCTTCTTTTCTGTGTTTCTATTTTCCTCTCTCTCTATCTCTCTTCTTTCTCTTCTTTTCTGTGTTTCTATTTTTCTCTCTCTCTTTCTTTTCTGTTTTCTATTTTTTTGGAAGGAATCTCATCTTCTTTCTTCTTTTCTGTGTTTCTATTTTCTCTCTTTCTCTCTAATTCCTCTCTCTTTCTCTTCTTTTCTGTGTTTTTTTCTCTCTCTTTTCCTCTCTTTCTTTCCTCACTTTCTCTTCTTTTCTGTGTTTCTATTTTCTCTCTCTCTAATCTCACCTTCTCTTCTTTTCTGTGTTTCTATTTTCTCTCTCTCTTCTCACTTTCTCTTCTTTTGTGTTTCTATTTTCTTCTTTTCTTGTTTCTTTTCTTCTCTTCTCTAATTTTCTCTCTCTCTAATCTCTCTTTAATCTCTTCTTTCTTTTTGTTTCTATTTTCCTCTCTCACTCTAATCTTTCTCTTCTTTTTTATTTCTCTTCTTTTCTGTTTCTCTTCTTTTCCTCTCTCTCTATGCTCTCATTTCTCTTCTTTTCTTTGTTTCTGTTTTCTATTTTCCTCTCTCTCTAATCTCTTCATTTTATCTTCTCTCTTTTTCTGTGTTTCTCTATTTTTTTCCTCTCTCTCTAAATCTCACCTTCTCTTCTTTTCTGTGTTTTTCTATTTTCTCTCTCTCTAATCTCACTTTCTCTTCTTTTCTGTGTTTTCTCTTTTCTCTCTCTTCTTTCTGTTTTCTATTTTTCTCTCTTTTTTCTCTTCTTTCTTGTTCCCATTTTTCCTAAAATTTCTCTCTCTATCTAATCTCACATTCTCTTCTTTTCTGTTTCTATTTTCTCTCTCACTAACCTCACATTCTCTTTTCTGTGTTTCTATTTTCTCTCTCACTAACCTCACATTCTCTTTTCTGTGTTTCTATTTTCTCTCTCACTAACCTCACTTTCTCTTTTCTGTGTTTCTATTTTCCTCTCTATCTAATCTCACATTCTCTTCTTTTCTGTTTCTATTTTCTCTCTCACTAACCTCACATTCTCTTCTTTTCTGTGTTTCTATTTTCCTCTCTCTCTAATCTCACATTCTCTTCTTTTCTGCATTTCTATTTTCCTCACTCTCTAATCTCACCTTCTCTTCTTTTCTGTGTTTCTATTTTCTCTCTCTCTAATTGCATTTTCTTTTCTGTGTTTCTATTTTCCTCACTCTCTAATCTCACCTTCTCTTCTTTTCTGTGTTTCTATTTTCTCTCTCTCTAATTGCATTTTCTTTTCTGTGTTTCTATTTTCCTCTCTCTGTAATCTCACTTTCTCTTCTTTTCTGTGTTTTTATTTTCCTCTCTCTAATCTTTCACTTTCTCTTCTTTTTCTGTGTTTCTATTTTCTTTTTCTCTCTCTCTAATCTCACTTTCTTTGTTTTCTTTTTCTTCTTTTCTGCATTTCTTTTCTGTATTTTTTCCTCTCTCTCTAATCTCACCTTCTCTTCTTTTCTGTGTTTCTATTTTCTCTCTCTCTAATTGCATTTTCTTTTCTGTGTTTCTATTTTCCTCTCTCTCTAATCTCACATTCTCTTCTTTTCTGTGTTTCTATTTTCCTCTCTCTCTAATTGCATTCTCTTCTTTTCTGTGTTCCTATTTTCCTCTCTCTCTAATCTCACTTTCTCTTCTTTTCTGTGTTTCTATTTTCCTCTCTCTCTAATCTCACCTTCTCTTCTTTTCTGTGTTTCTATTTTCTCTCTCTCTCTAATCTCACTTTTTCTTTTCTGTGTTTCTATTTTCTTTCTCTCTCTAATCTCACATTCTCTTTTTTTCTATTTTCCTCTCTCTCTCTAATCTCACTTTCTCTTCTTTTCTGTGTTTCTATTTTCTCTCTCACTAATCTCACTTTCTCTTCTTTTCTGTGTTTCTATTTTCTCTTTCTCTCTCTAATTTTGCCTTCTCTTCATTTCTGTGTTTCTATTTTCTCTTTTTCTATCTCTCTCTCTAATCCCACCTTTTTCTTTCTTTCCTTCTCTTCTATTTTTGTAAACTATGATGTGTTTTTTCCTTTTAACTTTGTTTTTTTTTTTTAATTATGTCTATTTTAAGAGTTGCAATAAAATTTTTTGATTTCCTGCAACATTTGTTATTTTGACAACACCCTCGTGACAGTTTCTGTAAACGTTTTTATACACCAATCAGAATGAAGCATCTTCCTGATTAACGTATAAATTACTTGTCATTCTTTCTGCTTTAGTTTTACAAACAAGATGGGCTGCAGGCCTTCACCTTTTATACTAGTGTCATGACTTTTAATCAATCATTCAATCAAGCCAGGCTCTGAGCAAATATTTCCAAAATTAAAATAGTCAAATCCAATCGTTTATTTTGATGGAAAGAGAATGAAGGGTCAAACAAGGAATAATATAATGTCCTTATTTCAACAACGCAGTTGCAGTGATCTACCCTTGGTGTCTTGAAAACATTCAGCGTTCAAGTAACCATTATGAATCTCATCTCCTTTTCTTCCATCTGTTGATGAATGTCTCTTTCACTGGGAAATGCATACTTGGTCATTTTATATGCTTTCCCCCTAGCCAAAGGCGCTTGTCATTGTTACAAATTATGTGCTCATTCATGTCTTTTACATGTGTTCTTTGATCAAACCAGACCAAAATATCTTTTTGTCTTAAATTGGAGACAACAAAGAGGAAGAGTCTAATATTACCAGGAGTAGAAATTATGGAGAGAGAAAGAATGGTCAGTGCCAGTCTTAAAAGTGGGGATGGTATGCACATTTTAATTATTAAGATTAGCTTTGCTGAGCACAAAACCATTTAGAAGGAAATGGAGGTACAAAGATTTGTGCTGTGCCAATCTTCAACATAGGGAGGAGAATAAAAAAAAAAGATAGTCAACCTAAACATGAGCTTGAAATCTGACTTTTGACACTGTTAAGGAATATGAAACAACAGCATTTTTTTTTTTTTTTCATTTACAATTTTTGAATTTATAAGGATTTCACAAATGTGGAAATGAAGTAAAAAAAAAAAAAAAAAAAAAGTAATTTTGGATTTTATAACTCTTGGGACTTAAAACAAACCTTTTCAAGTTCTTCTTTGAGTTTCTCTATTTCTGTTTCTTTGGAATTATCAGTCATTTCCATCTTCAGTTGGTTAATCATGGAATCGGACATAAGTTTCTGGGAATGAAGTTCAGCAGACTCTTCTCGTAATTCACACAATTGAGTCTGTAAAAGCAAAACCCAGATGGATAGTGTAAAGAGATGAAAAAATAAATTACATATGGATGTACAGAATACATATAAATACACACTAGGTGCCCACATAAACCATTTTCTGTCTGAAAGTGCTAATAACCCCTAACATTTAGATCATAGCTTGAGAGTTAAGAGAAGCAAGCAATTTTTACATTTTGAAAATAAATATAAATTATAAGATGAAATAAATATAAATTATAAGATGTCATATGAAATAAAAAAGCTTAAACTTATTGAGCTTTAATTACAGCAATTTCGTTAATACCATTTTACTGTATTCACAAATTTCTGAAACAAAGGACTGCAAAATGCTGCAGAGTCAAAGAGAGACATTATTGTTAGTATATATATATATATATATATATATATATATATATATATATATATATATAATTTGTATCTACCAGTATATCTTTGGTTTTGTTAAACATAGCAGTTCTTGCTTAGTTTGAAAAAAAAACTTATTTACATATTCAGCTTAAAAAAATAAAATGAAATAAATAAAATAAAAAAATAAATGTTTTGCTATTTGTTTTCAATCTAGTCTTTTTTACCTTTATAAATAAGTGATTATCTTTTTTGATGGTTTTTATAATTAGTTGCATTTTTATTAAAATAAAGTCATTTTCTGCCTTGAAAGTAGTAACCACCTTAGCATTTAGATCACAGCTTGTGAGTAAAATGTAACCTTGTATATGAAATAAACAACTATCAAAATGTTTAAAGCTATCAATATGATAATTTTGCTAACACCATTCTATGGCAGATTCAAATTGCTTAAAGAAACATAACACAATGGAGCAAAGTAACCTGGCCCAAGTAATGAAAAGTATCATTGCTAGTATACATGAACACTCAATTTCCAAAATATAAATGTAAGAAAATTTAGTTAAAGCAAAGTTACCTTTCAAAATATCCAACATCTTGAATGAAAAGTTCAAGTTTTTCTAAATTTTTTCAAGCACATTCTACTGATCACATACCTTATATATAAAGATCTTATTAAAAGGAATGGTTTGGCAGCTTATCTGCTAGCATGCTTTCACTTATGGCTACTCAGGCTTGTAAGTGCCATGATATTAAACCAAACCATTTTTTTAATACAACCTTAGATTGTTTTGTTGCATGTCAGTATTTCTTATCTTTATAATCATGGATTATTAATATATATATATATATATATATATATATGTGTGTGTGTGTGTATCTGGCTCCTGAAAATAAATTCATTCGGTTGAGCATGTGGAGAGAAAAGTGAATTTGTAAACAGTGACTATTACCGCTAACAATGCAAGACTCTCCTGACGGATTGAGTCCTCTAGGTCACTGGTATGTTTATAAAAAAAAAAATAAATATGCAAAAATTCGCCTTTCTCTCTGCCAAGCATCAATAGCTTAGGGGTTAGAATTGCCGACTTGACACCAAATCGGTCGGGTTTTGGTTCCCGCTTGAAGTGATCAGATGTCTAGCCACACTGAGGAGCTGTGATACAGCGAAACGGTCTGTCTGTATATGACACACACATATATATATATATATATATATATATATATATATATATATATATATATATATATATATCCCAAAGATCTGTGAAAAAAATGAGCATACATGATAAAAAAAAAATGCACAAAACTTAATAAAAACAAAGTTTTATTGTCAAAATCTTTGTTATTATTAAGAGCAAAGACCAAAGGATTTTGGTTTACTAAATTATATTTTTTAATTCTTTTTTTCTTGAGTCAGTGAGTCGCCATAAATTAGTATAGGAAATTTCTAGGACTTATTTACAAATGAATGAAATTATCTTAGTTTTAAGAAAATTTTGGCAAAAATCTTATTTTTACATCTGTTACCCACTACATATTTAATTTTATGAAATGTCGAGAAATTTCGTTTTTTGTGATTTAATGTTTATATTCATTATAAGTAGAAGTCTTTGGAAAATTTAAATTATCAAATTGTTTTTTCTAAAACAAGACACCCCAGTTACTGAAAATTTGCTGAGACAGCATAATAGCCGAAACATTATAAAAACAACAAAGATGGGGACTGTAGTCTGAATATAAATAATGTAAATAATGATAACTCCTCATCCCAAAAATTTAGACAGAATTTTACTTGAACAATGAAAATTACTTCTAAAGTGGGACTGAAAATTGGAAGGTATAAATATCAAGACAACATTGTATACACATTTGGGTTTTAGGGGTTTTTTTCAGAGGGGGTGGGAAAGTATGTTTATTTATTGTTAAAAAAAACTTGAATTTTTTAACCATTCAACCAGATTTTTTTATTTTTTTATTTCAATATTCATAAATTTAAAATAAAGATTGTATGTTGAAAAATGCTGGAAATGTTTGTTTGAACAATGGAACTAAAGCTACAAAGGGGAAACATTCAACTGGTAATGGTTGGGGAACTAATAAACTTATTGAGTCAACTAAAAAAAATCTAATGATATTACAGCATTTATGTGAGGACTTTTGTCTTCATCTAGACGACACAATAGCCTAAATGTTGTGATCACAACAAAGATAAGGACAATAATCTACACGTAAAAAATGATGACTTTTCACAGAAATTCAGACAGAAACTACTAATGCTACTACTCAGAATTTAACTTGTACGAAAGATTTTTAATTTGATAATGTAAGCAGTGACCTCTTTTGTCCAACAGGCTCTTGCTCTTCTGTCAATGATAAGATGATGACAATTCTAGATGTCATAAATACTGACCTGTTTATCTGTTATTTCTAAGTTGAGGCTGTCAATTTGTTTAATATAAAGTTGGTTCTGTTCTCGAAGAACATTATTTTCTTCTGTAAGTTCACGTTCCAAACGTTCACGCTGGTCCCGCAATCTGGAACAAGAACAGATAAACTATTGAAAAATAAAATACATTGTTATTTCTTTCTTTTTTTTTTTTTTTTTTTTTTTTTTTCAATTCTCATTGTTCATTCTAATATCAATCTCCAGGTATTAATCTTTCAGTTATATTGATTTGGTTTAGTTTGGTTTATTTAGTTTAACCTCAATTGATTATTTAATGCAGACAACATTTTTAGGATAGATTCGTATGAATAGAATATGTATTCTTTGGTTTAATGCTGACAAAAAATTTTATTGCTGGTAATATTTTGTTTTGTCAAAAATCTGTTTCTTGTAATATATTTCCTTCAAAATTGTATTGCTGGTAATAGTTAACTTTTTGTCCATAGCTGGGACCCTAACAGGTGCTACCACCCAAGGTCAGAGTGGACCTGGGAACACCAGCAATTAAGAGGTGGTTCCAAGCTCTTCAAAACCTCCTGATCAGAGGCCTTGCTGCTGGACATAGTTTAACGTCTTACCCAGGACGACTTTCATTTATATTGAAACATTCAATATATATATATATCCAAGTATAGGATTGGTGTATATGGAATAAATTCCAATAACCAACAAATACTATTCTTAAAAGAGTGCTCAATACAGAGTAGAGCAAATATAATTATTTATTCGAAAATTATAAATAATAATTATTATAACCATAGTTCGTTGTCAAATTTTGGAATCCTTGTATACTTGTATTTTGATTGGTCATTGCAGCTTATGTAACAGTATTTCCCTTAGCGAGGGGTGTTTGATTGATTTGAACCTTTTAAAAACCTTTATTCTACATTCAACATCATCACTTGATAAGACACCAGAAGTGTTGAAACAAAATGGGTATTTTTGTAGTGATTTTAATAACATATTTGTTATAATTTTCGAATAAATAATTAATATATATATAAAGAGACAGACAACTTTAAGTTTCATGGTGATTATAATTTATTTTCTTAGAATCAAAATTAGATTATAATTCCTCAGATCAACATTTTCATACAAAGAAATGGGACAAAATATTCAAATATTCCCTTATTATTCATTTGTAGAAATATTTATCCCCATTCCTTTGATCTTATTCTCTAATTCTGATTCTAAGGAAATAAATTTAATCACCATAAAACCATAAAGTCTATATTTAATATTTATCTATTGAGCTCTCTGGATTATATCCTCCCTGGAATTATCCATATGGGTTACCAAACACATCTTTATATATATATATATATATATATATATATATATATATATATAGAGAGAGATTGTTATTGTGGCTGTCAGAATAGAAGTGGACATCATTTGCAATATGACAACCACTTGAGCATCACTGTCTTTGAGAGACAAGTATGAAAAGCAAGCAAGAAATAAGGACACATTATCAGTTCCATAATATGGCTGACCATATTGTGGAACAATTACTTGATACAGTGTTCAACCATTCCAAAAAAACACAAACAAATAATAAATTTGTATTTAACTTTGAAATAATAATATTGATGGTTTGCATTATATTTGAAAGCCTCGTGCTATTAAATTTGGAATTGACTTTCTATAAGTAACCAAAGTTAACCAACCTAATTTTAAAAGTAATCAAAAAGTTGCCAGTAAGGAAATTCAAAAGTTAGCTGGGCTTTCAAAACTGGCCCAATTAGACCTTTAAATTAAATTTCTGTCAAATAATGAAATCTTTTTTTTTTTTCTTTCATCAAATGGCGTTAAAACTTTATATGCACAAGTTGTATAATTTTACCTCAAAAAGTTACCTTCAAGTTTAAAATATATCTTTGTTTTTAAATATTATTCCCTTTTTGGGAAGAAATTAAAAAAAAAAAAAAAAAGACAAAAAATCAAACAAAAAAAAAACTTGATGGTTTTTGTATGCCATCAAATAGGGTAACAGTTATGAGGAAAGCAGTTTTTTTTTAATTTCTTCCCAAAAAGGGAATAATATTTAAAAACAAAGACAAAAAAAATCAAACAAAAAAAAAAAACTTGGTTTTTGTATGCCATCAAATAGGGTAACACTAACAGTTATGAGGAAAGCAGTTTTTTTTTGTACTCAGTCATTAGTGTTTTTGTATTTAAAATAACAGGCAATGAGACAGGCTCCTGCTTTTCTGAAGAGTAGAAATAAAAAAAGTAATTCAATATTATAATCAGAACTTTGACTTTGTTTCCATTCTGTTGTATAATGAAATGGACTAATCTGTTGACGGTGTTTTATAAGCTGAAGCACTAGTAGGTTTTGTTAGTTGTAACCTTGATTACTTCCTGAAATGTACAATTGTATTTAAAGGTTTGTAACAGATATCCAACTATATGTCTTTCTTTCATTCTTTGACTAAAATAGCACTGTTGCAGAATATAAAATTATAACACTTTTCCCAAACTCTACCAAAAATTACTTTTAGAAAATAAATGGGGTCAAGCATTTAGAAAAGTAAAAGATTACTTACCTATCAATTAATCTTTCTTTATCAGAGAGGGATTCCTCCATAGATGATAAGGCACTGTCTGTGGAGTCCATTGTGATTGTTGCCAGTCGTGATTGAGCATTTTTCAATTGGGTCTCCTTATCAGTCAATTCATCCTCTAAAGTTTGAATCTGGTGTGAGGAGACAAAAAAACAGTTTGTATAAAATTATAAAAGAAACATGTAAATTGGGGACAATCCATTTGACAATAAGAAAATAATATAGCAGCAGTAAAGACAGTAATTAAAAGGGGTCTGGAGATATTAGACAATAAAATAATTTCATTTTTAATATTGTTGCAAAACAGTGAGAAAGAATCTGTTTCAAACCTACTCAAAGGCAGAGAGTTTAAAAGAATTGTTTATTGAAGCAAATATGACATCAATTAAAAGAAAAAAAAATTAAAATCTTTATTGAAAACGTTAATTGAGTGATTTAACACTATTTAGTATTTAAGTGATTCCAGTTGTTCATAAATCTGTATATGTGACACAAGTGCAATTAACTTGATATTATCTCAAGAACTATTGAAAATCAAGTTTACAAGTTTAAATCAATTTTGTGACACCCATACAGAAAGGAAAGGAGTGAGATTTTGTCTTGTGATGGTCTTCAAGGTGGTCAACCAATTGTCTGAAAGGAAATAAAAGAATGAAAACTTTTGGAGTTCAAGTGACAACAAACTGTATATTGAAGATTTCCAGTTGCCATTCTGTATTAACAGACACGGTTGGGAGTGAATGGAGTTTTGAACTACCCATTCACAGGGACAGGGTAGTTTTGATGCAGTTTGTTAGAGTTGCCAGTTGTGCTGTGCATGATATGCAAAGAGTTGATAAGGGGGAAGAGCGGGTCTGTTAGACTGACATGACAGACATTGTCTTGTCACCTACCTACACACCTAGACCAACAAAATGAAACCCTGTATAAACACCTAAATATACTGGAAACTGGGTTCATGTCCACATTTCTTATGTCATTTGTTTAATTTTCATTTCCTTGTGAGCTTGCAATGGGCCTTTCCCAGTTTTTGGTGCATACAGATATGAATGAGAATAGAGAGGTGTAGTCACTATCCAGTTGGGGGAAATTTGGGCAAAGGCCTCATTGAATATTTATAATTTCTCTTTCAAACGATAACAAACTTAGCCTCCTTGGCATTACTGCTTATGAGATATAGTTTTGGAAATCTATAGCAGGGCAGGTTGGGTTCTCTTGCCTTGATGTAGCAACCAGTCTAGGAGAAGAAAAACTGAATTCAGAACTGGTCTGAAGAAGGATGAGCTCCATGTTATCTTTCCTGCTACTACAGCTGCAGTATTTGTTGTGCCACTATAACTCTAATGGATCACAACATTAGTGATTGTAATGGTTTGCAAATATATTCAGGAATACATGCATAATAAAAGTGTCTACTTTTAGTGGTTGGTGTTTGAGATTATATAATTAAAGTTAAAGATTTTCAACTTCTGTCTGAATTTCTAAGATGAGGTATTATTATTTACATTCAGACTAATGTCCCCATTTTTGTTGTTATTATCACCTGATCGCCCTCTGTTTGAATTTCAAGGATGATAATATTCAATTGTAGCACTCTCGAGGATTTTCCTTCTGAGTGAGTTATTTTTTTTTCCCAAGCAAATGTACATGAATATAATAGCGTTTTCTAAATTCTTCCTGTTGTTAAGGACATTTTGTTTTGTTATTATTAATTCAAAATGGTAGAAAAGGCAATTGGAAAATACTCCATTATCTTGCCTAAGGACAATCATTACAATGAACAATATACAGATATTGAAAAGGAAGCTGTGGAGTGCCATTATCGCCTATATCCTGAAAAGATATTTAGTAGAGCATATATAGTCAAAGAACATGTTAATGTGTAACATATTAGTGAGATATCAACTTGTCTAAAATACATTTCTTGCAAGATATCTTGTTAGCTGATGAAAACAAAGATGGTAATAAATATGGCAACAAAGATGAGGACAATAGTCCGAATAATGTAAATAAAGATGGTTTAATTTTCAAAATGTAAGTTAAAATATACAAACCATTTTTAACGTTTGATTAATTGAAGTGCATATTTAATATTTTTATTTTGTTTCTACTACAAAAGTAATGATTGCCAAATTTCTTACCTTCCTTTGCAAAACATTGACCTTCCTTTCTTTGATGTCTAAATGGTCTCGAAGGTCAGTCAATTCACCTTCAAACTTTTTCTTTTCTTTTTGTGCCATTTGTGTTTGTTTATTTTTCCGTTCAATTGTTGATTCTTTCTCCTTTATACGATTTCGTAATTCATCCACCTGAAACAGAAAATTTATTCAAATAGTCACCCAACAAGAAATGGCATTTGTTCATTTGTAGGTTTTCAGTTACAATCACAGTAGATAGAAGCTTAAGGACTACAGTTTCTATCAGAAGAAAGTAGGATTGTTATCAAGTTAATGCCTTATTAAATCTATTAGAGAAGAAATTTCACTATTAATGGTCCACTCATAATTAACAGAAAATTTTTTTTTAATAAGTTAACATTCATAAGACCTTTCTCAAGCCACAACATTTCTGAGAAAATTTTTTATCATTTTAAAAGTAGGTGTCCAGTTCAAAATATAAATACAGTGTCAAATCAGTCCCTGACTTCTTAAAGAATTATCTGTAAAGTGTCAAGTTTGAAACTGTCCTTACACCATAACTGTATACTATTATGAATTGGGTGAAAAACAACATTAGCAGTTATCAATGACATGTGCACAGTTTCAAATGAGACATTTGTAAATAAAAACAAAGTACAGATAACTTTTTACAAAATAAGCCCAGTGGATAAGTGTTGGTTGAGTAATCTAAAAAGTGACTTTACCCAAAGATTTGTGAGTTCAATACCTGGCCACAGCAGAGAGAACAAAAACTTGGAGTTACTGAATGGAAATAACTGAAACTGTGATATCCAGAAAAGGCACAACATGTGGAACTAGAACAATCTAACCCTGTGGAATAAATAAAGGGTTCGGCTTGAAATTTCATAGTAAATCACCTGAAGAAGGCCGGAGCATAATGTTGTGAATATAGCAATAAAGACAAAGACAACAGAATGACATAAATACTAACAATACCTCATCTCAGAAATACAGACAGACAATTTGACACTGTATTTAGATTATTTTTATGAACTGACTGGTCAATTCAAATAGTGCTGAAACTGCTTCCTACAGTGTTCTTTCAAATTTGAATAAGGATCCTTTTATCTTGGATGGAAACCTAAAAATGTTTAAATATTGTGAGAAATTCCAAAGTGCAGTGGACGAATAGATAACAATTTGGAGAATGGAATCTGCAAACCGAATTCAAATTCTCACTGAAGGCGTAAGTCCATTTCCTTTAGTAACAGGGTAGACTGGATTCTTTAGCCTTGGTTAACAGCCATTCTAGGAGAGAAACTCTAAATTTAAAACCAGAAGGTAATGGGAAAACCCACAATATTTTCCAAGATCAATCATGGCAATGCACAGCTTACAGATATTAAAAAAAAAAAGAAAAATGAAGAGCCATGATTACTTATGATTAATGCATCTGTGGCGGACATGAGACAGAACCTGGGACCAAAACACAACTGGTCACATGACTTGCCTTGTCCCCTCCAAAAAAAAGCCCGTATTTGCTTAAAAAAAACTACTTTTTTTGAAATGAGGGAGTTCTTGAGGCGTTCACGGTTGGCGGCAAGAAACGGGCAGTTAGTGTGATTTGGAGACAACTCAAGAAGGAACGACTCAAGTTTGAAATACCAGTTGGGAGAGCTTGAATTTACTCGCTGGTTACTATTTTCTTCATTAAGCCTCAAGCTATTTCGGCTTATTGATTCTTCAAAATGGAAGGCAAGGTCTTTGACGTCCGTTTGATTCAAATTCAGCGGCGCCCAACGGATATGCCCATTGTTGAATGGATGAAAATGTGGAATTGGTCTGCGAACTTTGTGCCATGGACAAGATCGAGTGCATCTTGCCTCTCGACTTGGTGGTGCCCTTGCTGTGTATAGACAACTCAGTGGAGAGCAGAGGGCAGGCGCGAACAAATTTCTTGGGCCCTTATGACTGCATTACCGACTGACAGATTTAATGCGTTCGACCAATTTATGGGACGGCGTCTTCGCCCAGGGAAACTGTGGATGAATTCCTGGCTGAAATGCATCGTTTGCCGGCGACTAATGGGGGAACCGCTACCTGATCGGTGGATGGCATGTGCATTAGCGTCAGGACTGCCACATCATGTTAGGCAGCTTCTCAAAGCTTCTTCCAGGATGGGCGACATGAATCTAGAACAGATTCTGACCCGAGCAAGGGCTATTATGATGGATGACGAAGGATGCCAGGTATTGGCACGCGCATCCGTGAAACTTACTGCGCTCAGAAGCTGAGGTTCCCCTGCTAAATCTGTTAGCAAACGATTACCTGCTACAAGTGCTCTGGACCCAACCATATAGGCGAAGAATTGTACACAAGGACGTCAGGAGGGTCAAACAGAGCACAGAGGTCTGGTGCGACAAGCGGTGTTTTCGATGCAATGGCATTGGACACATTTCCTCAGAATGAGAGGGAAAAACCCAGGGGAGAAAGGCGTCAGCGTAGCCTTCTCCCGAGCAAATAAAAACCGGAGAAGTTACCCACCGTGCAAGTATTTGTAGATGGAGTAGAGTGCACAGCTCTGGTGGATTAGGGATGCTCACAGACTCTGGTGAGCAAGACTGTGTCGCTGCTGGAAGGAGGAAGAGGTGGGGAGTGTTGACTGCCCGGCGGGAAGACCCTGAAGTGCGTGGATATGGTAAAAATTAAGTTGGGCGTCGAGATATTCAGCCCATTGACTATTCGAGGTTCTGGTGGTGGAAGGGCAGTTGCTGGATTCGATCTTCTTCTCGGAGTTGACAATCAAAAAGTGCTGAGGTGTTCTCAGGTGAAGCGTTTGAAACCTGAACGCACATGTGCGCCATTGTTATCAAAAACCTGACTTTAGAGTGACGTTTAGCCAGAACACTGGCAACGTGGACTGCATTGTGGAAGTGGGCGAGTGGTCATTCACCTAACAAGTTGGTCAATAAAAGTACAGGAGTACACAGTACTGGCCCGTCCGGGATACATCGATGAAGAACTAGCATGGTGGCAGCCCGGACGGATGGCCTGCCATATCCGAAAAAACTTGGCCCACCCAAGGGATTAATTCCCTTAATGGCGGTTGTACAAACACAAACAGAAGGTCCGGCCGTGCCCTGACTATCCGGAGTTGAGCGGCTTTGAAGCGCATTCCACGGCTGGCGCGGGGGTGTGCATGAAATTACGAATAAGCGACGACAAAGGAGCTGACGTCGTTGTTGGATTTAAAATCGTGCCTACAGATTCACATTGACAAATCGTTGTGGCCGTTTCAAACAGTGGTCATTAAGGGCAAAGCGGTTTTTGCCTTCTGCGTTTGGGTTTTAGGCCTGAATGTGGCACCACTTGTCATGAAGTCAGTGGTCGACATAATAACGTCCCAGGATCAGGACATTAAGAGTGCCCGCGTCGGCATACGTCGGCGATATCTTCATAAATGAAGGCCTAGTTTCTGCAGCGCGTCAGACAGCACTTTGCAGATTACGGGCTGGTCTGTAAAAATCTGGGCGATTGAGGGACAGAACTAAGGTCCTGGGTCTGCAAGTCTGGGAAAAGCAACTCCCTCGATGGAAGCGGGGAGGTCAAGTTCAGAAATTGCTCAAAAGGTGACCCGCTTGGCGTATTTTCCTTGTCGCGGAAACTCGTTGGGTCATTTCCTGTGTGCAGTTGGCTTAGGGTGGCAACTGCATTTTTGATAGCGTTATGCAAGTACACTAACCAAAGGATGGACTGACGAGATAAAGGATGCCACTCTTGGGCGTATGGAGGAAACAGTGGCCAGAGTGCGAATCAGATCCTGTCGGTGGAGACTGGTGTGTGAGCGGCAATGAAATGACAGTTTGGGTGGATGCAAGCTCCGTGGCCTCGGGAGTAGCACTGAGAGGTGAATGGGAGCATCATGGAAGATGCTTGCTGGTTCGTCAACCAATGATGCTAAACACATTAATCTTGCTGAGCTTGATGCTGTGATCAAGGCGTGAATCTTGCCCTGCAGTGGCGGGCACCAGTTATGAATGTGGTCACCGATTCAGCATGTGTGCATCGGGGTGTCCTGACACCCTGACAGGAAGAGGGCGATGTGAACCGCGAAGGCGGCGGGTGAAATGCTGATGGCGGCTCTTAGAGACACACTGCGAGCTTTGGTGGAGATGCGCACTGACTATGACTGTGACGTTGGTGAAATCTTGTCAGAACCGGCGCTGACAGCCTCACCAGAGTGCCCGCCAGCGCTGGTTGGAGATGCACAAGAAAGGAGGGAGAACGGTTGCAAGTGAGTTGTGTCACTACAGCAGCCAGTTGAGCAAACGTCAGGTGACCCACATCCACCAGCAGGTGGGCACCCAGGTGTTAAAAAGAACAATGTACTTTGCTGGGACTGTAGATCCAGCGGTGTCTAAGGAACTGGTAAAATCTGTTGTTAGAACCTGTGAAGCCTGCCAATCGATCGATCCAGCACCAGTGCATTGGAGAAAGAAATTTGAGTGTGAGAAAAACTGGAGCAGGTTAGCAATGGGCGTGACCCATTACAATGGTAGCCATTTTCTTCGCTCATTGACTGTGGTCCCTCACGTTTTTTGCGGTATGGCGGCCACTGAGGCGGCAAAGACTCTGCTGGTGTCATTAAGTCAGTTGGAGACAGTCTTCTCTGACGAGGCCATGACTGAAATACTGACGACAATGACACCACGTTCACTTGCAGACAATTTAGGGGATTTGTAAACAGCTGGGGCGTGCATTTGAGGTTCCGGTGCGCTTCGTGCCGTCTGGAAATGGCATTGTGGAACGCAACCACAGAAGCGTCAAAACCATAGCGACCAGGAAAAAATTGTTCAGTCTTAGGCGGTTTACTGGCATAATGTCACACCTAAGGACAACCTTTCACCTTCCACGGCACTGGCTGATGTACTGCACACATACCACGTCCGGGTGAGAGGCATCGGCGATGTCCCTACCTGAATCACAAGTAACGAAGGGAATACAAAGAAAGGGACATTGTCTGGGTTAACACTCCCACGTGGTAAATGCACGACCAAATTTGGAACCAGGCGTGTGACCCGGTGGTGAGTCAACAGTCAGTGCTACGGAGCATACCGTCATGTTAGAGACCTCGCCCTTTTTGGGATCCGAATCCCACAACTGGCGAAGAAGACATAGAGGATAGTGAA